GCTGTTCACAGAACATAGAGGGCCTAAAACCTAAACCCTAAACCCTAAACCCTACACCCTACACCCTACACCCTAAACACTAAACCCTAAACCCTAAACCCTAAACCTTAAACCATAACCACCATTCGGAGCAACCCCCTCAGGAAGTGAAGCCTGGCAGCTTCCTCCTCCGCGGAATCTGGGTGAACCTGGACCTGCGCGGCCAAGGCCGCGGGGACTTCAGGAGGGGGTGGAGGAGCCTTGGAGCCAGCCTCCTTTGACCCCCCCCCCCCCGCCCGCCCCTTTGTTTAGGGTTTAGGGTTTAGGGTTTTTTGGGTTTGAGCCCCCCCTGGTTTCGGGGGGCCTGAGCGCCCCCAGGTTTGTCTTTAGTCGAGCAGGAAGTGGCTGGGCTCCTGTAAAGGGTACTGTCGTATGTGTGGCGGGTCTGCTGGATGTCAAGCAACAGCATGGTCAACCTGGCACAGGAACAGGAACTCTGTAGCTTTCAAGAGGTAGACCCAACAACCCCCTCTTGACTTGCGAGTCCCCTCTCGTCAGTGGCCTGATAAAGGCAACCGCCCCTGTTGTGCAGGGCTCGCCTCTATCTTCTTGGCACTTTGGTGGGGGCCTTGGATTGGGTCCCCGTCTTGTGAGAGGGAGGAAGGGAGGGAGGGGAGGGGAGGGTTTCAAAATCATTGGCCCCTTCCAGGACACCTTAAATAAACGGGCCGCTACGGTGATCGGTACGCACAAAAAGTAACGTTCAATTGGGGAAACCGCTCGGCCGCTGACTGCTCACATCTCTTGGGTTGTGTTTTGAGGGGGCTCTTCGAACTGCTCTTGCAGTGGTCTTACTCTGTTTGTGGACTGCGCCGGCATAATCGGATTTGATCAGGGTCTTGGGAGGGTTTTGGGATGCAGCTTCGGGGTGTTTTTAGCTTTGGTTACTTTGGTTCAGGGCACAGGTCCTTAAACGCCTGCTCAGCAAGCTTAAGATTAACCACAGTGCGAACCCCCCCCCCCCCCCCAGAATGAAAGAATAGTAGGTCCTAAACCCTGATCCCCTACACCCTACACCCTAAACCCTAAGCCCTAAACCCTAAACCCCTAAACTCTAAACCCAGCCTCCAGCTGCTGAGGATTCAGCTCTGTGAGCAGCTAGAGGTGTCGATGGCCACAGAAAGGCCTGCTGTTCGGGGCTTTGGGGTTTAGGGTTTAGGGTTTAGGGTTTAGGGGTTCGAGGTCTCTTGGGGGTTTAGGGTGTAGGGTTTAGCATAGGGAGTATGGGTTTGAAGGCTGGGGCTTCAGAGGTCCTTTGGGCTTGACAGCGTTGATTCAGGGTTTGGGGCTTCTGGGATACAGCCCCAACGGTTTAGGGCTTAGGGTTTAGGGTTTAGACCCAGCGATTGCCTTGCACGGTTTTTCTTTCTCACAAGTACGGCGCTGGGTGCTTCGGTAGACATGTGGGCCCTGCTCGCTGTTCGTCATTCATGCCCACCTTACAGGGTTTAGGGGATCAGGGTTTAGGGTTTAGGGTTTAGGATTTAGGGCTTAGGGTTTAGGGTTTAGGGTTTAGGGGAGCTAAGCCCTCCGACTTACGACCAAGGGATGAGTTTGGCCCTTTCGATTCACTGCGAGTCTCTTCGACTCCATGCCAGGGTTTAGGGCTTAGGGCTTAGGGCTTAGGGCTTAGGGCTTAGGGTTTAGGGTTTAGGGTTTAGGGTTTAGGGTTTAGGGTTTGGGGTTTGGGGTTTGGGGTTTGGGGTTTGGGGTTTAGGCTTTCGGAGGTCTAAGGGTGCCAGGATTCACAAGCCTGTCCTCGCGATCGTCCTCCAGAAGTTCGGCCGCCACCTTGGTGGCTGCTTTGTGAGGTTGGTGGGGGGTTTTGTGCTCAGGGTTTTAACTCGAAGGCCAAAGCTCTTCTCGGGTGGGAACGTCGAATTCAGGCCCCGCGCCGCCCGCCCAAGGCCTTCAACAGCTGACACATTCGCACTGAACACGCAAGGCCCGACTGAAAACGCGTGAAGAGTCCAGCCCGTAGGTCTTGAAACCCTGGAATCCTACCTGTGAGGGCAGCTGGAAGCCCTTGCGTAGCAAAGCGAGACGAGCAGCAAACCCCCCCCCCCTAAACTCATCGACCCTTAACCCCTGCTAAGCCCCTCCCTGTAAACCCCTAAACCCTAAACCCGAAATCCTCGACTCTCAAAGCAGCGCCTTTGAGGCTTCGAGCCCTCCACGCCCAATTTCGCCGTGGAGGTGGCCGAGGGCGGCTCGAAAGAGGACCCCAGGACCGGGTAGAGAAGCGTGAACCCGGTGGTACACCAGGTTCCCTTGTAAAGTAGCAAAACCAACACAAGAACCCTTAGTATGATATGGTTGCTTGGCTACGAAGGGTTGTGGGGATAGGCTTGTAAGGGCCCGAACTGTGATACTGACCAATCCAGCTAAATGTATCGGGAGAAGAACCCCCAGACAAAAACCCACAAAGCCATGTGCTTCGGGGCTCGTGGAATTCGCAGCTCGGGGTCTTTAAGTTCGCGCTGGCCATGTCAATTTTCTCGCCGCGCAGCCCGCCCTCGAAACCCTAAACCCTAAACCCTAAACCCTAAACCCTAAACCCTAAACCCTAAACCCTAAACCCTAAACCCTAAACCCTAAACCCTAAACCCTAAACCCTAAGCCCTGCTAGGCCTGAACCCAAGCCCGACGCGAACACCTACAACACACCATAAATCCAACCGGACGACCTATTCTAGGCCATCCCGAGACCCCATAGCCCTCAAGGTAGGTAACCTCAACTTGAAAGGTGATAAAATGAAATGGAATAGGTCACCTTCTTAAACCCTACAAACCCTGGAATCCTCAAAACCTCAACCCTAAACCCCAAACCATATAGACCCGAAACCACAACCCTGAAGCCCTCCAGTTGGCCCTATCTACCCTTAACACTTATAGCCAGGATTGTGGTTTGGGCTGCGTCGTCTGCGCGACTTGACTCCTACTTCAGCCACCGGACGCAGAAGGAGCAGGCGCAAGAGGGCCTTGGGGGGTTTCTAGGGTTTCGGGTTCAGGGTTTAGGATTTAGGGTTTAGGGTTTAGGGTTTAGGGTTCAGGGTTTGGGGTTTAGGGTTCAGGGTTTAGTGGGTGGTTTAGCTTGGGTTTAGGGTTCGGGGTTAAGGTAAGGGAGCTTTGGAGTCTCAGGTTTTTGGGGACACCGGGGCTTGCTTAATCTGTTCCTAGAAAAAGCGAGGGCCCTGTGGGGACCCTTATGGCATCTTATGGCCACAAGCTGGAAACAAGGTCCTTTCTGTGTGGGGATTTCAGGGTCTAGAACTTTTGGATTTGTCGGGCTTACTGTTTGGGATTCGGGTTGAGCGTTTTGGGGTTTGGAGTTAAGGGAACCTCCCCCTCCCCCCCTCCCTTGTAAAACCCTTGTACCTCAACGACGGCGACCCTACACCCGAACCCTCAGCCGAAACACCCCCCCTCCCCCGAACCCTACACCCACGACGCCGCCAGGGAATCGTGCTGGTCGAACAGCGCCCGGCCAAGACCAGGACTCTGTAAAGCTCTCTCTCTCTCTCTCTATTTTTTTGCAAAAATGTAGTTATGTACTGTCTTGCAGTAATGTCTGGTCCCTGCACGTCAACGAAGTAGCGTGCTCTTCGGCACAAACGGATAATTTGCGTCTCACAGCTGGCCAGGACCATGACACTCGCATAGCGGCATCTAGCCACATTGAGTGCCCTGGGGGTTTGGTGTTCAACATACCTTGAGCGGAGCTAGCACAACCCCGCACATGTGCCGCGGCATTTTTCTTCAAGGCTCAGAATGCCGAGTCTTGAGCCGTTGATGCTTCTGTTGACCGCCCGTCGGCGAATGCGAGTCAGAACTGAAGACTGTCACCTCAACTGAATCTTGAAGCCACGGGCAGAGAGCTTTCATACCCTGAGCCCTAAACCTTAGCATGTGTGGGTTTAGGGTGCAAACAATAACATAGTTTCATGTGATTCAATTGTATACTTCATTTCTAGAACATAGTGTAATACTACTAAACTTTAGACTCTAGGATCTAACATACTACTTATATACATATTGGTATATTCCCCCTTATACCAACAGTCCTTAATAGAGATTATAATAGAGATTATAACAAGGGGGGTACTATAGTCCCTACTAAGGACTTTTCGTATAAAGGGGGAAACATCCCAATGTCTGTATAGGGCCCCTCTCAGGGTTCCTGCGTAGCCTGGCCATGAGCTGCTTGCTGGTGAAGCTCTGCGGCATTCCCGATGGGCCACGCCCTTGGCTAAAAATCTCTCTCTCTCTCTCTCTCTCTTTCTCTCTCTTCCCCTGTGATGATGACAGGGTTTCGGGTGTAGGGTTTAGGGGTTTAGGGTTTAGGGTTCAGGGTTTAAGATTTGGGGCACCTCCCTCCCTCGGGATCGTAAAGGCAATAAACCCTAAACCCGAAGCAAGCTACGAAAATCAGGGGGCCCTCAGTAGACCCCCCAAACAGCAGCAGTCCCTGCTGTAGGGTGGAGGTGTGGGAGATCTCGAGGATGACATGATAATTAGGCCTCCCCGGGCTGTTAAGTCAATGTAAACTCAGGGCTCCGCATCTTCTTTGCGGAGTCTGACAGGACCCCTAAACCCTAAACCCTAAGCCCTAAACCCTAAACCCTAAGTGCACGAAGCATCCTGAATCTCCAGAATCCTAAGTTCTGGGAGCCCTGAGTCCTAAACCAAAAACCCTAAACCCTAAACCCTAAACCCCAAAACCTAAACCCTAAACCCTAAACCCTAAGCTCTAAGAATCACGCCTCCACCCTCCCATCCGGGCTGAAGCCCTGACAGCGAGACCTTGAATAGTTCTATACATCTTTGTTGACTTGTTTGTTGATTTACATATAGTGTCTTGTATCTACAAATCATCTTATGGAGCTTCTACCAGCTTCAGGAAGAGATGAGAAGCTGGGATTTGGGGTTTGGATTGTCTGGTCCTCGCAGCAAGGCAACTGATGAGGCTGTGCGTGGGCCCCGGATTCTTGAAATCCCCTCCCCCCCTCCCCCCCCCCGACCCAGCCACCTGTATCTCCAACGCCCTCCACCTTCAATCCTTGGGTTTGGTACCCTACTTTAAAACCTTTTTTTGGTTCTGGGTTCCTATTATTATAGCTACGTATACCGAAAAAGGAAGGGATCCTTAATCCTAGAAGCCCGACAACCGCATTAGGGTTTGGGGCTTCGGGTAACCTGCTGTAGGCCCACAGGCCTACAGCACGCGCGAGGTCCCACCCACCCACCGCGCGGCCAAAGCCGGTTTCGGGCTGAGGGTTTAGGGTTTAGGGTTTAGGGTTTAGGGTTCGGAAATTTAGGCATTAGGTGTTTATTCGTTTGTTGGGACTCCCAAAGGCCGCTCATCTGTTCTCGTAGCACTGCTTGGGCCTTCACCCAAAAGACCCCACAGCTGCAAACGCCCTTGAAAACAAAGAGAGGCATGAGTCCCGGAATATGCAAGCCCCAAAACCCTGAACCCTGAACCCTCAACTCCATGAACATCCAAAAAACCCCCTCAATCCTAGAGGTCAGGCGCTTTCAGAGAGCTGCGTGGGCATCATCGACCACCTGGATGCGCTTCGTCCCGTTTGCATTTCGGGGCCTTCCTTTAGGTTTAGAATGGTTAGGGTTTAGGGCGTTTAGGGCTTTTAGGGCTTTTAGGGCTTTTAGGGCTTTTAGGGCTTTTAGGGCTTTTAGGGCTTTTAGGGCTTTTAGGGCTTTTAGGGCTTTTAGGGCTTTTAGGGTTCAGGGTTTAGGGTTTGGGGAGTTTGGGGGCCTGCTTTTGTAATGTTGTCTAGGGGCTTCGGGATGAGCATTTGTCCATTGTGGTCTACGAAGCAAGTGTCCAAGGCTGCGGGCAACAGTGCAAGCCCTGGCATAGCGCTTTGAGTCGTCAGAGCAGAAGTGCCCAAAACCCTAGGAGAAGTGCCCAAAACCCTAGGATTTAGGGTTCAGGGGATGTTCTCTGGGTGATCTTGTGACTTTGCAGTGGTCGCAGCTAGTTAGAGAGCTTCGCCGGGGCAGTTCCCGCAAGGCCATTACAGGGTTTAGGGTTTAGGGTTTAGGGTTTAGGGTTTAGGGTCTAGGGGGTTGTTAGGGTCCAGGTGCTGCCGCGAAAGCCCAACCACGTTTAGAGCTTCAGGTTCAGGGCCTTGTGCTTCTCCCTTCGCACCTCAACTTCGATTCGCCTCGTCCCCCTTCCATGAACCCAGGGATAAACCCCAAAGCCCAAAAACCCTAAACCCCAAACCCTACACCCTAAACCCCAAACCCTAAACCCCAAACCCTAAACCCTAAACCCTAAACCCTAAACCCTAAACCCTAAACGCATGTGCCTGAGCTGAGGTGTATCCCTGCAACCGCGTCTCCATCCCTGTCCGACAGAACGGGCCATCGGCGAACCTGGGCTTGGCATCGACGCCCTCAGGGGTTTAGGGTTTAGGGTTTAGGGTTTAGGCTGGTTTAGGGTTTAGGGTTTAGGGTTTAGGGTTTAGGGTTTAGGGTTTAGGGTTAGGGTTTGGGGTTTGGGGTTTGGGATTTGGTGTTTCGGGAAAACCCTGAATCCTCCACCTTCAACCCCAAACCCCAAACCCTAACCCCCAAGACACCCTGAATTCAAGGTATCCCCCCTAAACTCAACACCCTACATAAATCCCTCAAACCATAACCATCGCCTCATCATGCAGGTGCAGAGACCCAAGAGATTGAGTCTCAGAGCCCAGGAATTCAGGAAGCCTCGAGCACTAAGAGTTTGAGAGTCCCAGGTCTTTCGGTCTCCGGGTTGAGGGCTGACAGGCTTTGTGGGGTTTAGAGGGTGTTAGAAGGCTTAAAGGACCCTCGACCCGAAATGTGCTGGTTTGGTTTGGGGTTTGGGGTTTGGGGTTTGGGGTTTGGGGTTTAGGGTTTAGGGTTTAGGGTTGGCTTGACAGTGACCCCCAAGCCTGAACCCCCATTGCCAGCCCGAGGAGTGGTCCCGCGCCCCTGTGCCCGGCGGCCAAAGTGCACGCGCAGCTCCGCGGAAATGCGTGGTTTGGGGTCAGGGTTTAGGGTTTAGGGTTTAGGGTTTAGGGTTTAGGGTTTAGGGTTTAGGGTTTAGGGTTTAGGGTTTAGGGTTTAGGGTGTGGGGTTCAGGGTTTAGGGCTTTAAAACCCTATGAATCGTATTGTCGTCTTCAGCTTAGTAGGAATGCCTTTAGACTTGTAGCTAGAGCCGTACTATAACCCCATAGGAGGGGGGGGGGGTTGGGGTTGTCGGGTAAACCCTAAACCCTAAACCCTAAACCCTAAACCCTAAAGGGCTTTAGAGGCCTCGATGGCACCCCAAAGCTGGTCAGGATCGCCATGAAGGTGCGGGCGCAGCACCTCACCAACCTGATCAAGGTGGCAAAGCAGCGGCTCGGGTGAAGATGTGTTTAGGGTTGAGGGTTTAGGGTTTAGGGTTTCGCGTTTAGGGTTTAGGGTGTAGGGCTTGTAGGGGTTTATAGGGTTTATGGGGTTCATAGGGCTGAAAGGGTTTTTATAGGGTTCATACGGTTTATAGGGTTTATGGGGCGTTTGATGGACTTCCTTGGGCTTCCGGGTCGCAGGGGGGGGGGGGGGGCCGGTGCAGAACGAGAGCCAAACTCCCCGAACCCTAAACCCTAAACCCTGGAATTTGAGTCTTTGGAGCTTTGGGGTTCGACACGATGGGCCCTGAAACCATAATCTAGGACCCGGCTTCTAAGCCCCTGTTAAACCAAAAAGTGCACCCGTGACATTAATGGGTTACTCCTGGGGCTAGTACTCGCCCTGAAAATCTAAACCTGGTTTGAGGGTTTAGGGTTTAGGGGTTAGGGGTTTAGGGGTTTAGGGGTTTAGGGGTTTAGGGGTTTAGGGGTTTAGGGGTTTAGGGGTTTAGGGTTTAGGGTTTAGGGTTTAGGGTTTAGGGCTTCATAGGGCTTATCGAGTTGCAGATCAGGTGCGGAGTTGGTGAGGATTTCGGCTCCATCGATGTGATGGAGGCCGCCGCCCCCCACCCCCCCAAGCAAATCCCAAGCTCGGTTCTGTTTAGGGTTTAGGGTTTGGGATTTCGGGTTTGGGGTTTAGGGTTTCGGGTTTAGGGTTTGGGCTTTAGGGTTCGGGGTTTAGGGTTGAAGGCGTACGGGTCTTTTAGGATTTAGAGTATTTGGGGGGGGGGGGGGGAAGTGAAGCCATGCCCACAAAATGCCTCCAGCACGGTTGTCCCGATGAGGGTACGTGAACAGCAACCCATTTTGGGGTTCATGTGCTCCCCAAGGTATTGGGGTTGCGGAATTCTGGTTCTTAGGTGTTCGATTTATTTGTGTTTGAGGGTTTGGGGTTTCGGGTTTAGGGTTTAGGGGGGAGGGTGAGGGGTCTTAGGGTCGCTGGGTTTCGGGTTTAGGGGCCGTCGGCGTTGGGGGCCTATGGGCTTCGTGGGGTTTTTAGGGTTTAGGGATTAGGGCTCTAAGGGTTCAGGGTTTGGGGTTGGGGGTGTGGGGTTTGGGGGTTTGGGGGCGATGTGGGTTCAAGGGCTTCTTGTGGCGCATGGGGTTCAAGCTTGGTAGCTTGAGTGCGAGGCTCACAGTTCCCCTAAGCCCCAAGCCCCAAACCCTAAACCCCAAGCCCAAAATCCCAAACCCCAAACCCCAAACCCTAAACCCTAAACCCTAAACCCTAAACCCTAAACCCTAAACCCTTAACCCTAAACCCTGAGCAGCTCTAAGGGTTAGAGAAGCTGAAGAGCAACAACCTGTACCTCGGCCCAAACCCTGGCGGTCTACTTGGGGGTTGAGGGTTGAAGGGTTTGCGGTATAAACCCTAAGCCCGAAAACGGTTGCCTAAACCCTAAACCCTAAACCCTAAACCCTAAACCCTAAACCCTACACCCCCAAGAAAGGTGCGCTGCACCACGGAGTTGCCACCGGTTCCAGAGCCTGAGCCATTTCCCTCGAGCTGCTGGCAGGGATGCGGGCAGAGGCCGCCGTTTTCGGCTTTGAGGGTTTAGAGTTTAGGGTTTAGGGTTTAGGGTTTAGGGTTTAGGGTTTCAGGTGCTATAGGGGCTTTAGGTTTTTATTTTCTTGTTTTTGTTTCTTCACTTTTTTTTCGGGGGGTTTCTGGGGTTTTTGGGGGGCTCAGTGCTTGACGATGAGTTTGGGTTGAGTTAGGGTTGGGGGGGAGGGGTTGGCTTCGGGCACTTGGGGGCTTTGATGATTAGACTCGAGGTTTGCTACCTCGCCGCCCAACATCCGCTGTGAACGAAGTGCCCTTTGCCAGGTGGAAAGAATTCAACAGCACGACGTTGGACCGCATGTGGCTCGGCGGGAGCCTTCAACATCTCGGGGTCCTCAATCTTAGGGCTTCGGCTTTTCTGTTTCGGTTTTAGGGTATTTCAAGGGTTCAAGTTGGGGCTTTCTCGGGTGTTGAGGCTTTGCAGGAGTTGAGGGTTTCGGGCATGGGAGTACCTTTTGGGTAGAGTTTGAGGCTTCGGCTGTTGAGGCATTAGGGGTTATAGTGTTCGGTCAGGCTATGGGAAAAAACCATAAACCCTAAACCAAGCACTGAAAGCGCGTGTTTTCTTTCTTGCAGGGCTGAAGAATAAGCCTCGCAGCCTGAGAACTCAGCCCTAGAAGCACTGTTTAGGGTTTCAGGTCCCTAAAACCCGAAACCCTATGAGCCCTTCATGTGCGGTTTTGGGATCTGCTTTGGCAGGTGTCACCTAAGCTGGCCAGCCTACAGTCAATCCCGTTTCGGTGCTGTCCTTATAAGTCCAACTTGACAAGCTGAAGACCCCAGCAGCCCCTACCCGGCAGACAAAAGCGAGACAGACGTTATATATGTTGAGTTTGAGTCCGAGTTTCGGAAGTCAGGTCAACGCTTGAGATCCACTCCGTCATCGTGGGGAACAGCTACATCAGCTTCAACCACGTCGCGTGCATCACCCTCGCAGCCAGCTTCAAAAGCGATCTGCGCATCGGGGGTCGGGTCCCTAAACCCTAAACCCTAAACCCTAAACCCTAAACCCTAAACCCCTAAGCCCCTAAACCCCTAAACCCCTAAACCCAGCAAGACATCTGTTCCATCCTTGCAGTAAGAAGACAAGGGCAGAAGCCGGGCGGACTCTTGGCCGACCTTCCTTCTGCAACTTTAAGGGTAGTTTCACGGGCCCTTAATATGGTCCCGTACCCCCTTCGTAGGGTTCTGAAGTATGGGCCCTAGGAGGAAGGGCTTTTGGCTCCTCCGCAGACCGCCCTAAACCCTAAACCCTAAGCCTTTCTGAACCCTAAACCCTAAACCCTAAACCCTAAACCCTAAACCCTAAACCCTAAACCCTAAACCCTAAACCCTCCAGAGGCCTCCGGAATGGCGGCGATTGGTTTGGTCACAGACAGCATCCTGGCTACAGGGCCTTTCTTGGGGGGGGGGGGGGGGCAGCGGAGGGGTTCCTAAGGGGCTTGTAGGGTTTTGGGGTTTAGGGTTTAGGGTTTGGGGTTTGGGGTTTGGGGTTCAGGGTTAGTAGGCTATGAAGGTTGCTACTCCCTTTGTTAGGATATTGGTTGTTTTCGCGTTTTCCTTTCAAACCGAACCCACGCACACAGCTGCAAGACATCTTCTGGGCTGGGGTCTCAGAGCCTAGGCTGCAGCCCACATGCTTGACAGCGTCTACTGTGGCTGTGGGGCTTTAAGATGTGGGGTTTAGGCTTTCGAGTTTAGGGTTTAGGGTTTCCGCTTTAGGGCAGACCTTGCAGGGGTTAGGGCTTTGGGGGTTGGGCTTTTGCACCTACTCATTAAGCTGCGCTTACGATTACGACTCAAAATGTTATTCGTTTCTGTTGCAACTTCTACAAATATTCGAACAAATCATTCTTATTATTGTTACGATTACGATCTCCATGAAGTACTGGGATCATTCTGATCACTATTGTCATCGAGTATGCCTAGCTAGCATGCGCAGTAGTCCCCTTCCTCCCTTGCCAACTTAGGGCTTGGGTTTAGGGTTTAGGGTTTAGGGTTTAGGGTTTAGGGTTTAGGGTTTAGGGTTTAGGGGTTAGGGGTTAGGGGTTAGGGGTTAGGGGTTAGGGGTTAGGGGTTAGGGGTTAGGGTTTAGGTTCTTCATAAACACCCTTAGTCGACAGAGTATCTTCGCGGTCCTAAACCCGAACCCTTCTCCGAAACCCTGCACTTGCATTCTTATCCCACACCCCAAGTCCGAACCTTAAGCCCTCAGCCCTAGCCCGACGCCGACACCCCAAATCCGAAACCCTAAGCCCTAAGCCCTCAACCCGGAACCCTACACCCCAGATCCGAAACCCTCAACCCCTCAACCCTAAACCCTACACTACACCTCCCACTCCGAAATTCTCAACCCCCTCAACCCGAAGTCCCAAACCGAGTAGGTAGCGTCTTCGTCCTGGCGGCCTTTTTCGTGTCGCCGTTGATGCAGATGGTCCTGGCCTCCTGGTGGCACCTTCGAAAACCAAAGCCTTGCACGCACCGAGAGTGAAAAACAGGGGGTGTTTATATGGTTCTGAAGAAGTTTAGGGGTGTAAGGGTTTGGGGGTTTATGGTTCAGGGGTTTAGAGTTTAGGGTTTAGGGTTTAGGGGGGGGGGGGGGGTTAAGGGGCTTAAGGTTTAGGGGCAGAAGGGTTGCAGGGTTTTGGACTCAAGGCGGTTTATTGTCCGGGGCTTAGGCTTGTGGAGCTGAGGGCCTTGCACCCCAAGCCGCCTTCTTTGGCCCAGGGTGATGGTTGTTTAGTTTAGGACTGGGTTCATGTCTTTGCCCGTGCCAGAGGATTAGGCTTTCTGGGCTTAAGGGCTCAGGGTTTTTTTGGAGTCCAACCCGAAAACCCCGTGTCCTTGAAGCCTCGAAGCCCTGGACCCTGAACATCCTTCAACCTAAACCCTATATAACCCCCCCCCCCCCCGAACCCTGTAAACCCCAAACCCTAAACCCGAGACCCTAAACCCTAAACCCTACAAACCCCGTGAAGCCTGCAAGCCCTGAGCTCAAAACCCTAAACCCTAAACCCTAAACCCTAAACCCTAAACCCTAAACCCCGCCAGGCGACGGTGTGGGGCCTCACAGTCCAAGACTTCGCTTTGGCGTGGCGAGGATTCCGAAATATGTGCTTTGGGGCTCCTCGGCTGCAGCGAGTGCGAAGATGGTTCAGGGTTTAGGGTTTAGGGTTTGGGGTTTAGGGTTTAGGGGGTTTAGGGGTTTGGGGCTAGGGGTGTAGGGGCTTGCGGCTTACGGTTTCTTCAAGAATAAGTCAGCATACGTCAAACCCTTAACCTCTAGAAGGAGAATAGAAGGAAGGATTTTGCCATTCCCCTTATTTCTTTTAAGGGGTATGCCGGGTATGCCCACGGGGTATGTTGAATACATCTTAGATTAGAGGTGAGTGAGGTTTTCGTTTTTTGGGGCGTGTTAAACGGAATTGCGCTTTGTGAGCGCGCATGAGGTTGCCGACCTACCCAGCCAAAGATCACCATGTACTCTCGATGCAGGGTGGGTTTAGACGACCTTGACCTGCCACCCTTCACTGAAGCCGCCTATGAGTTGTGTCACATGGGTCGCTCTGGGCCACTTGGGGCACTTGGCACTCAGATGTCATCAACCCCTAAACCCTAACCCCGATACCCTAAACCCTAAACCCTAAACCCTAAACCCTAAACCCTAAACCCTAAACCCTAAACCCTAAACCCTAAACCCTAAACGCCAGCCTTGCGGAAGGCTTTGATCTGCCTGGCTCTTGGATCACTCTTTGGACTGAGCCTTGGATGGATGGTTGAAAGGGGTCCCCAATACCTCCTTGGAGAAGCCTGATTTTACGCTGCCCGCCTAATAACTACCCTAAACCCTAAACCCTAAACCCTAAACCCTAAACCCTAAACCCTAAACCCTAAACCCTAAACCCTAAACCCTAAACCCTAAACCCTAAACCCTAAACCCTAAACCCTAAACCCTAAACCCTAAACCCTAAACCCTAGCCTAAAGCCCAAGTTTCAACCTGTCTCCATAGTTGAGCTAGCTGATAACTGAAGTATTTGAGCCAGCAACAGTAGGCAACTTGAATCCTGCAAGCTGTTGAGAAGGTCTGGCCAATGGCTTTGCTGTCGTTGTTGTCAGAGGATGATGATGATGATGATGATGATGATGATGATGATGATGTCGCAACGGGTAGCGTGCACATGTATGACACACACAAAACTCAACAGCTGCCATGGCCGCTAAGTCTTAGGGCCGTCACAGTCTTGAGGGGTCTTGATGGTTTAGGGTTTACATAGGATCCCAGACCCTGTACCGCCTGAACCCTTCTGAGGGTTACATGGTCCTTTAGTGGGGTCCCTTACCCTCTTTCAAGGGTTCTGAAGTATAGGCTCTTGGGGTTTATAGGGTATACAGGGGTATACAAGGGTTCCCCAATCAAGGGCCCACACTCAGGGACCATGTAACTACCCTAAGTGCCCTGAACCTTAAACCCTAAGCCCTAAACCCTAAACCCTGAACCCTGAACCCTGACCCCTCAACCCTAAACCCTAAACCCTAAGCCCTAAGCCCTAAACCCTAAACCCTAAACCTTTAAACCCTAAGCCCTAAGCCCTAAACCCTAAACCCTAGCTTCAGCTATGCACTCAGGCTCATCGGGGCCTTGTCCGGCGAAAAGGACTTGATTTCCCCGATCGGGGACTACCGAGGCGGGTTTAGGGTTTAGGGTTTAGGGTTGAGGGTTGAGGGTTTAGGGTTTAGGGCTTAGGGTCTGAAATGTTAGCCTTAATCCTGAAACCCTAACACCCTAGGCTCCAAAGCCCCTAAATAACAACATTGATCGTAACATTTGTACTAATTTTATGAGAATATGATACGATCAAAGCTGACAGCGACATATTTTTAGTCACTAAACCGCGAACCTGCAAGCCCTTAGTCCCTAAACCCTAAACCTTAAACCTTAAACCCTAAACCCTAAACCCTGAAATCTGGAGGCTCCACCTCGTTTATCTCCATCAACACACTGCAGATCACCTCGCGTGGCCCTCCCGCAGGCCAGGCATTCCTTGAGGTTAGGGTTTAGGGTTTTTAGGGTTTAGGGTTTTTAGGGTTTAGGGTTTAGGGTTTAGGGTTTAGGGTTTAGGGTTTAGGGTTAGGGGTACAGGGTACATGGTTTAGGGTTATTATTTTTGTTTAGGGATGCTTACAGCTTGTAAGGGTTTAGGGTTTTGGGCTATGGGCGAAATGTGCCGCCCAAGATGCATTGTACCCCCATATGGCTTGGCTTTAGCTACAGCTGGGTTGGTTAGCTGGGACGATGCAAACGTTCTAAGAACGTAGCAGGGCCTTTAACAAACATGGGCTTGTTTTGGGCTTGGCTTGGCTTGGCTTTGGCGGCAGTATGCGACCCCCCCACCCCCCCCACCCCCATTTCGGGTTTCGGGTTCCAGCGTGTGAGGCCCAAATTTCCAGACCCCGAAGCCTTTTTCGAGTCGGAGAATCCGGGTCTCCGCCTAGGTGCTTCGGCCTTGAAGAGCATCTTTTGAACAGGGGTCGGTGCAGGAGCTTTGGGGAGTCCTTATGGGGCCACCCCTCCACCCAAAGACCTCAAGTGTTTAATCATACCCTAACCCCGAAACCCTGAACCATTCAGGGTAACCCGAGTTGGAAATACTTGAGAAGTCTTAAGCTTCGAGTGTGAGGCAACGTGCTCATGTCAGCCATCGTGGCCGCCCTTTCCGGCATGGCGGTGGCATTAGGCGGGCTGGCTGTATCTCATACTAGGTACTGATAATAACAATAATAATAATAATCATCATCATCATCATCATCGTAATGGTAATAGTAATACCAAGAATTTTAATCATAATAGTGGGGAATGAGATCGAAAAGTGTTACACTGCACCAAGAACCAATGAATTCATGCAGAGGAGGAGTGATGGTGAGTGACAAGCTTTGGACAGCAAAAGATTAGGCGAATGCTTCGAAAAGAGCGGTGAGCAGCAACTCCTGAACCCTTCCAGCCTTGCAGAAGAAGACGTGTGCACGGGACCCTAGACCCTAAACCCTAAGCTCTGAACCCTAAACCCTAAACCCTAAACCCCACGCGCGGAGAGGCCAGGGAAGCGGCATCTCAAGCGCGCTGATCGGGGTGTGCATCTCCACATCGCTACTGCCGCCTCTGGTGAACGCCGGGATGATGTGGCTTGTCTGTTCGGGTTTAGGGTTTAGGGTTTAGGGTTTAGGGTTTAGGGTTTAGGGTTTAGGGTTTAGGGTTCAGGTTTAGGGTTTAGGGTTTAGGGTTTAGGGTTTAGGGTTTAGGGTTTATTGGAGTACCTATACTTTAACATTACTTTGTTTCACCTAAAATCCCTGGGGTTTTGGAGTACCTATACTTCAGTACTTTTTTTTGGCTCTAGGCTCCTATTTTTAGCTACTTATGCCTAAAAAAGTACATGTTTTCTTCCAGGGTCTAGTCCACAGTAGGGTTGTCTTTCACCAGACCGTCCTGTTTTCAGGACATCTAAAGCGGTTAGAACCTTCTCTCGACTAGAAGTCATCATTATGACGAAAAGATGCCGGGCCATGTCAACCCCATCCCCAAAAGCGTTCCCACAGGCTTTCCACTAGTCAAACTCTTTTGGGTTGAAGAGCTTGCCGCCCTAAACCCTAAACCCTAAACCCTAAACCCTAAACCCTAAACCCTAAACCCTAAACCCTAAACCCTAAACCCTAAACCCTAAACCCTAAACCCTAACCTAAACCCTAAACCCTAAACCCTAAACCCTAAACCCTAAACCCTAAACCCTAAACCCTAAACCCTAAACCCTAAACCCCCCCCCCCCCCAAGTGGCATTCAAAAGCCCGAAGCCGATGGAAGCCACGAGCATGGCAAGTCGCAAGGTGGACCTTACAACTCCGCTTCCCCAAGCTCCGCAACAAAGGGGGCTTCTGCCTCAGCGAGCCGCCTGCCTGAGGGTTTAGGGTTTAGGGTTTAGGGTTTAGGGTTTAGGGTCTAGGGTTTAGGGCGCATGAGAGGGCCTCGGAGAGATCTGTTTCCGAAAATGGGGGGGGGGGGGGGCACCCTTCTAGGGGTTCCTCTGCAAGGGCTCTCGTGTTTGGGGTTTATGAGGGGCACCCCTACTTTCGGAAATCCCCATGTGCATCCAGGGTATGGACGAGAGGCCTGCCGGCAACTGTATGTGTGATACTCCGACAAGAAGACCAAGGCCCATAGCGACAGAAACCATCACAATCATGGTCGCCGTCATGGTAGCTACAGTCTAGTTAAGAGCAACAATACCCTAAGAAGTAAGTAACACCAATCCAAGATAGTCACTGAACGCTTGAGAGTGTAGTCTGGAGTTGAGGTTTCCCTGAATTTCCGCGAATTACGAGCTGCGGGCGGCATCAGCTGAAAGTAAGAAGGCTGGCACTGTTTAGGGTTTAGGCCTAGCCTACTCCCCAAATCCTAAACCCTATAGGGCTTAACACGTGGGTGCCATGTTGGGCTCGCGTAGGCGAGGGAGTACAAGGCTTTAAGGCCCTAAGGTGTGTGTGTGTGTGTGTGAGAGAGAGAGAGAGCCCTGAAAATACTTTCTGCTGGTTAGCAGGGAATGAGGGAATCAGGGACCTATATATACCCTTTAAAGCAATTCTACAGGGTACCTCTTTCCCCCATTCCCTACGAAGCAACCGTAAGAAATTAAGGATTGGCGCTTTCTCCGTGTACCTCTACCTAACGAACATCGTCTGCATCGTGGCCTTCGCCTGGGCCGCCTTCAAGCTTCTTTGCCTGGGCTTCTTTTGAGTGGGGGAAGGGGGTCTAGACTCCAAAACCCTTTACGATTCAGGGTTTAGGGTTTAGGGTTGTAGGGCTTTAGGGGTTTAGGGCTTTAGGGCTTTAGGGGTTTAGGGGTTTAGGGCTTTAGGGCTTTAGGGCTTTAGGGCTTTAGGGCTTTAGGGCTTTAGGGGTTTAGGGGTTTAGGGGTTTAGGGGTTTCGGGGTTTCGGGGTTTCGGGGTTAGGGTTTAGATTTTATGCCAAGACGCGCGCGCGAACCTAAGGTTTAAGCACATCGGCGGCCGGACATTGCGGCCCATGGCCCGCGCACCAGCCGCCCGGCCTTCTGTATCCCCCTTGGGATTTTTTATTTTGTTTATATAAGTTTAGAACCCTAAGAGCATATTAAGAATAGTATTCTTAAAACCCAAGAGTATATTACGAATATGATTTTTATTCAGGTTCTAAGGGGAGTATAGCCTACTTGTGAGGAGATCGCTGGGGTTTGGGGATTGCCCTGATACTAGTATACCTTTGTTATAGTTGGGGAACATTTTGCATGTTTAAGGGTACCTAAACGCAAAAGGAATAGCAAATAAAATTCTTAATACTATCCCAACCATGAACTAGATACGGGCTTACTTAACCGCCCAAACCATGCAGTTTTATGGGGTTTAGGGCCCTGGGGCTTAAAGACGTTCTAGGGTGGATGGGTTCTAGGGTTCAAGGTGCAGCTTCAACCCTAAACCCTAAACCCTAAACCCTAAACCCTAAACCCTAAACCCTAAACCCTAAACCCTAAACCCTAAACCCTAAACCCTGGATTTGGGGAGTTCAGGATCCATGGAAGCAGAGAGTTTGTCGCCTGCCCAGGACCTGCAAGAGGAAGCAGATCCTGCCACGACCTCGGAGCATGCCCTTGACCCTGAACCCTAAGCCCTAAGCCCTAAACCCTAAACCCTAAACCCTAAGCCCTAAACCCTAAACCCTAAACCCTTATAAACCCTATTCCTTAGTTAAGGGCTGTTGGGGTAGAATGCCTCCGCCCCCAGTTTCGCAAGAGACTTATTGGGATTTAGTGTTTCCAGGGCTTTTTCCAAGGCTTTTTTACAGGCCATAGGGCTCATAGGGTTAGGGTTTAGGGCCTAAGTTTAGGGTTTATAGGGTTGTTTGGTGAGTGTACATAGGTTATAAACCCTCAACCCTAAAACCTAAATCCTAAACCCTAAACCCTAAACTCTTTCTTGTGGATACTGGTAACTTGCAAGACCCTCCGGAGGCCCAAATCACGCCCGGGGTGCTGCGCGCCTTCAGTCGCGCCGCTCGGAGTCAATGAGTTCGGGCTGAGGGTAGTTGGGGGGGGGGTGTCTTGGGCTTAGGGTTTTAGGGATTTAGGGATTTAGGGATTAGGGTTTAGGGTTTAGGGTTTAGGGGTTTGGGGTTTAGGGTTTGGGGGGAGTGTTTTGAGGGTCCCCGAAGCTCGACACCCTGGTGGGTGGTCTGGTTGTATTTGGCTTTCAGGGGGTTTCTATGGTTGGGACTCTGAAGTTCCCAGCCCATCCTCCCCCACTCTTGTTTAGCGTTTAGGGTTTAGGGTTTAGGGTTTAGGGTTTAGGGTTTAGGGCTACTCTTTGCTTGAGCTGCGGGTGGAGACCCCCCTCCAAACCATGCGTAGCCTAAACTTAGCACGAGCCGCACAGCTCCTGCAGCAGGTTAGGGTTTAGGCTTTAGGGTTTAGGGTGTAGGGTGTAGGGTTTAGGGTTTAGGGTTAGGGTTGAGGGTGTAGGGTGTAGGGTGTAGGGCTTCGAGTTTAGGGTTTAGGGTTTAGGGTTTAGAGTCCCTTTGCCAAGGACCTGAGTGCAAGGGTCGGCGGCAGCCAGACGCAGCTGTTGTGATGCTCTGATCCTTGGGCCCCTACACCGTCTGAACCTTGAGTAAGCGAGGCAGACCCCTAAAACCCTAAACCCTAAACCCTAAACCCTAAACCCTAAACCCTAAACCCTAAACCCTAAACCCTAAACCCTAAACCCTAAACCCTAAACCCTAAACCCAGACTCAGGGTGTCAAGTTTAGTTGCTTCGGTGTTTCACTGCCTGGTTGCCGGTCTACTATGTGCTTAAGAACCCCCCCCCCCCCAAGAAAAAAAAACATGAAAAACATTCTTCCTTCTAAGGGTAGTATAGCGATTTTTCATCATTATGTTTTGGGGGGTTCTTCAGCAATTAGGAGCTGTTGGGCTTCCCGGCATGACCCGACAGGTTTCTTCCGGGGTGTGGCAGCGCAGTTGCCTGTTGGGGCAAGGCGGAGAGACCCGGAAAAGGCCACACGCACGGAACTTGGTGCCTAGGGTCCCCCTACGCCCGAAGCCCTAAGCCCTAAGCCCTAAACCTAAACCCCAAACCCTAAACCCCAAACTCTAAACCCTCAGCCCTAAGCCCTAAACCCTAAACCCTACAAATTGGGTCTAAAAGTCGCCAGACATCTCCTGCTCTCGGTGGGTGGAGGGGATGGTTGCAGGCTGAGAAGCTCCTAAGCAACATCACGTCTTGCTTCAAGCCATGGTCCCCTAAACCCTAAACCCCAAAGCCCGTGAACCCCAAGAACCCTCTGAACCCCTAAACCCTAGGAACCCTAGGAACCCTATCAGATTCCTAAGCGCAATAAACCCTGTGAACCCTTTGAACCCTATGCACCCCATGAATCATATGAATCCTATGAACCCTAAGCCTATGAACCCTCTGAACCCTCACCCTAAACCCTATCCCTGAACCGAACATGAAGTTTGAGAAGACGTCGGGGGACCCCCTGCGCGGGGGGTACCCCTTGCGCGAAACGACGCGAAACCCTGACACCTGTAGGGTTTTGTTTAGAGGCTGTGGACCCCAACACCCTAAACCCAACACCCTAAACCCTAAACCCTAAACCCTAAACCCTACATCTTCTGCCCACGGAGCCCTGAAGTCATCTCCTCGCACCCCCCGCAGGACCGCTTGGGTCAATGCCACATTCCTGCCGAGAGAAGACCGAAGTCCGGACCTTAAGACTTTTGTTTGTTTTTTTAGGGTTTAGGGTTTAGGGTTTAGGGTTTAGGGTTAGGGTTTAGGGTTTAGGGGGGGAGGGGGGGGGATGGGGGGGGGGGGGGGGGGGGGTTGGAGTTAGGGTTTAGGGTTCAGGGTTTAGGGTTGGGGGTTTATAGGGTATAGGTTTACGACGGTTTCGGTTCGGAGAGTCCCAAGATGTGAGGGGTCTAGGATTTGAGGGGCCAAACTAGGGTCTACGGCCTCGGGTAGAAGATTCCCAGCATAAGGTGCGCCCATGGTACCCACTGAATACAGCGCAATTCCCTTACGAGGACACCCAGCCCGAGTTCTCGGGCACCCGCTTGCGACGGATAGCGGATAGAAGTTTGCGGCATTTTGGGTGCAAGATCTCGGACTGGGGTTTGGGGATTGTGGAGTTTGGGGCTTAGGGTTTCGAGGTTTAGCTTGGTGGCCCAGTGGTGCCCTTTTCCCTTTTTTTGGTTCAAGGTTCCCTTATGAAGTAACTGACCCAAAAAATAGGGTGCCCTTACCAGAATATGGTTCCTGGGCTACCAAGTTAGGTATGTGGGTTCAAGGTGAAAGGCACTTGCTTGTTCAATTGGAGGGGGTAACATCGCAATGCCCCCAGGAATCTTCATGTTCAACCTTGCGCCGCTCCAAGCCAGAACCCCCAAAGTCTAGTATAGGGGCCTTAATCATGTGAATAGGGTTGTGGGGCCTATGATAGTGCAATTATACAGGGGCCATAAGAGAATACTATGAGCAATGACTGCGACCCCTATATTAGAGCCCCATTGCCTAAACTTCTCCCGAAGTCCGGAACTGCTTCGCCCACAACCCCAAGGTCCTCGAGCACCCCAACCCCCTAAACCCTAAGCCCTAAACCCTCAACCCTCAACCCTAAACCCTAAACCCTCAACCCTCAACCCTCAACCCTAAACCCTAAACCCGAAACCCGAAACCCTAACCGTGCCCAGGCATCATGAGAGGTGCAGTGGATAAGGCTGTGGGGGCTTAGATGCCAGGTGCCCCTCTTCCCTTGGTCAGCATGACTAATCCACCCGTTTAAGTTATGAAAAAAAGCACCCCTTCTGTTCTTGGGTTCGGGTTTAGGGTTTAGGGGTTAGGGGTTAGGGGGTTAGGATTTAGGGTTTGATGTGGGGCTTTCCAGCCTCATGTGCTGCTCAAACGTTTGCACTGCGAGGTACTCCGGGGCCAAACCACCCAGAAGCCTTAGCTCAAATTGGCCCCTCAAGAGTGAGCTTAGCAAGGTTAAGCTACGATGACCGAGCTTAGCTTCGTGGAGCAGCCTGGAGCTTCCCCTGGAAGATCTGAGGGCAATCTCGAGCACTCTGACACTCAACCGTCTTCAAGGGCTTCCCCCGGGGCCACAAAGAAGAACGACGAGAAGCCAAGATGTCCCGAAGCTGTCCGGAATTCTTCGGATTTTTATGCTGCGCCGTTGTGAGTCCGGTGATGTCAGGTGTGACACTCTCAGGGGTTGCGTGAGCCCCCAGCACGACCGATACTCCATGCTTCCGTTTACACCTGCGCCTTCTATACCTACAAGTCTCACTTCCATGTGCAGATAAACAAAAGTATATGTATATGTGTGTATGCGGTATATATATATATAATTATATACACACGTAATGTGCATGTATTATACATATGACCCAGATGACCCTTAGCCGCTTTAGCAGTCGGGCAGTCTGCGGAAAGCTTCCTGTTGGTTTGTAGGGAATGGGGGAATGAGGTACCTATAGGCCCTTACAGATACACTTTTGAGGGTTTATGCAGCCTACATGTGCCCCTTAAGGGATACTATAGGGTACCCTATATCCCCCTATATATTCCCGTTAAGGGTTTACATAGGGTACCTCATTCCCTCATTCCCTCATTCCCTCATTCCCTCATTCCCTCATTCCCTCATTCCCTCATTCCCTCATTCCCTACGAACCAGCCAGTCACCCTAAACCCTAACCCTAAACCCTGAACCCTAAACCCTGAACCCTAAACCCTGAACCCTAAACCCATCTAGTGATCGTGAGAAAGAGGCGCTGCGTGGAGGGCGCCTCATCTTGTGCGACAGCGACCGGGCCGCGTGGGCCTGAGAAACGGGAAAGCTTTGGGTAGAAGCGGTCCTTGGGTTTAGGGTTTAGGGTTTAGGGGTTAGGGGTTTAGGGTTTAGGGTGTAGGGTTTAGGGTTTAGGGTTTAGGTTGGGGCAAGACATTTCGGGGCGCGGAAGGGGCTTTAAGGGTCCTAACTAATGTTTAGGGCAGGAGGGTTTAGCTAGGCCTTTGGGAGATGTTTGTGTTTTCCAGTTTTGGGCTTGACTTGAGGCAATGGGACCCCCGTGCATGTACACGTCCCAATTTTTCTCGGAGCCACAAGCCTTCATCTTGCAGGCAGGGTTTAGGGTTCAGGGTTTAGGTTTGGGGTTTAGGGTCAAGAGGGTTTAGGGTTTAGGATGGCTGAGCCGGGCTCACCCTAAAGTAGTTGAATTTGCGAGGTCACCCGAAGTAGCAAATATATACAAACGAACCCACTTGGTTGTGGGCCGAGGGTGGTGGTTTGAGGGTTGGATTCAACTTGAGAGGCTCCGTCGCCAGGCCCTTTGACTTCTGAACCGCTTCAAACCCAATAGCACGCTTCCCTGACCCTTCCTTCCGGCTGCTCATCCACTTGGCATGTCAAAGCTCAATTTAGGGTTTGGGGTTTAGGGTTTAGGGTTTAGGGTTCAACCAAGCCCTCAACCCTGATCCTCTGCACCTCAGAGTTGCAGGGATGGAGGCTTGGGGGTGAGGGCGGGGGGGGGGGGGGCGTAAAGCCTGGGTACTGGCACCAGGACATTGTAGCTAAGCTCTATCCTCAACCCGATGCCCCGAAACACTCTGCCGCACACCCTCGACCTTCAACCCTCAACCCTCAACCCTCAACCCTAAACCCTAAACCCTAAACCCACCGAGTTTCCCAAGCTTTTCCCGAAGGCCAACTTGCTTGCAGCGCTGCGTTGGGGCCTCGCCCGAGGGGTTGTGGGCAGTGTTCAGGGTTTGGGGGGGTTTAGACGGTTTAGAGGGTGAAAAGGGGGCAAAAGGAGTGAAAAGGTGTTAAAAGATGTTAAACGGGGTTAAGAGTAGTTACAAGGGTGTTGAATTTTACATGAGGTCAAAGGGGGTTTGATTACAAGGGGTTAGCAGGGGTTTAGGGTTCCGGAGCAGAGTGGACCCTGGAAACACGAGGGTTTCGGGTTTTGGGGCAGTGCCCCGAGCGTAGGGCAACCCCAAAACCTAAACCCTAAATCTAATTAAACCCTAAACCCTGAACCCTGAACCCTAAACCCTAAACCCTAAACCCTAAACCGTAAACCCTAAACCCTAAACCCTAAACCCTAAACCCTAAACCCTAAACCCTAAACCCTAAACCCTAAACCCTAAACCCATAAACCCTAAACCCATAAACCCAAAACCCATAAACCCAAAACCCATAAACCCTAAACCCTAAACCCTAAACCCTAAACCCATAAACCCTAAACCCTAAACCCTAAACCCTAAACCCTAAACCCTAAACCCTAAACCCTAAACCCTAAACCCTAAACCCTAAACCCTAAACCCTAAACCCTAAACCCAAACCCTAAACCCTAAACCTTAAACCCTAGACCCAAGTAACCCTCCACAGCATTTGGCAGTTTATCAAGGGGGCCCCGATACCCCTAAAACCCCGCAAACCTCGAGAAGCGAAGGGCCAGCGGAGGAGATTCACCTCAAAACTCCTCAACCTTACGCAACCTTACACCTTGTAAGTCCCAAAACTTATAAGTGCCCTAAACCCTAGCCCCTAAACCTAAACTCCC